CCTACACCATGAGTATATTTCAAAAATTTTTATTTTTCACAAAGAAACTTTTATGTTGAATTTTACCTTAATTCCAAAGTATTTAAGCAATTTATTGATAAAAACCAAATTTTCTAAATGAGGCTTTATATAGGAGTATAGGTCAAACATGGGCCGATCCTCATTAAATTTGGGAAAAGGATATATTTGTAAATAATACTTAATTTTGTTGAGTTTCAATGCGATACAAATGGTTACAAGTCAATTTTAGACGTTTAAGACATTTTTTGAAGGGGGGTTTGTATGGGGGCTAGGGTCAAATAAGGGGCGATCATTATGAAAATCTGCAGTGTCATTTATACTTATATAAAACTTATTTGTGCCAATTTTTAGAGAGATATTAGTATATTTGACGTAATTATGGCATAAAAAGCCCAAATCGGGAGGTACGGTTGTATGGGGGCTAGGTGAAATAATGGACCGATTTCAACCATTTTCAATAGGCTTCGTCCCTGTGCCAAAAAACGTGCTTGGTCCAAATTTCATCAAATTATCTCGAAAATTGCGGCCTGTACCTTGCGCACAAGGTTTACACGGACAGCCAGCCAGCCGGACAGACGGACGGACGGACGCACGGACGGACATGTCTTAATCGACTCAAAATGTGATTCTGAGTCTGTGAGGTGGGTATAGGACCAATATTTTTGTGTGTTACAAACATCAGCACAAACGTATAATACCCTCCCCACTATTGTGGTGTAGGGTATAACTACAAAAATTTATTGAAATGATAAGCTATTATCATCGATATGTACCAAGCAAAGAACTAGTATGGAATGTTGATGCTGAAAAAGCTTTTGATTTACTGCAAATTAAATTTTGCGAGAAAACTTTACTTACTCATTTTGATAAAAACGCTTACCTAACTTTAGCTGTAGATGCTTCTAATTTAGCCATTGCACGGTGGTAAATTCCGGCCAAAAATCTATAGCTTCTTTATTTCTTTAAATAAATAGCGTCGTCACGTTCTCTATTTTTATGAAGTTGAAATATATGGAAAAGTTCAGCATTTGTAATAGAAGAAGTCATTAAAAATGATCTAGTTACTAGAGTTGCAGGAAGTTGCAGATGAAATTTATAATACCTTTTCCTGATAAATAACAGTAGTAGAATGTTCACCTAACCTCTTATAGCCTTTTCCTTTTCTACGGTCTTTCAAAATTTGGATTTATATAGCATTTTTAGTTTTTAAAGTAGGCCACAATCACTTAATTTATCGGAAAAAAAGTAAACCGCACCAAATCGCAATAACCACATGGAATGATCATTTACTAAGACTACATTAAAACACGTGCTAATTTACAAAGAAAAACTTTAAGGAAAAATCATAGCCTTTATTTATGTAAAGGTGTTTAAAATGTAATTTAAAAACCTTAAAACGACAGGCAAAATATTATCAACTTTGCATATGTATAAACATTCACAAGGATAAGCAATAATCAAAATATGATTTAAATTGTACGATTTGAAGTGTTAGCTATAATCTACCATCAAAAATTTATCAGAATTAAATAATTGAAAGAAAACATTTTTGGTCGGAATTGATTGGAATTGGAGCCGTTTTACAGCAATAAAGTTGAACCACTTGCATATTTTTCCAAAAAATTAACTCCTGAGTGCAAATATTCTACATTTGACAGAGAAATTTTAGCAGTTTATTTATCCATAAAACACTTTAGACCCTTTTTAGAAGGAAGAGAATTTTCAATTCTAAAAGATCTCAAGCCTCTTACATATGTTTTGGATTCTAAAGTTGAAAAATCTTCACGACAAACTCATTTAGAATACATAGCCCAATTTACTTCAAATATATGTTTTATAAATAAATATAATATTGTAGCGTATACACTTTCCAGGCCGCCTGAAATTTATGACATAACTAGAGTTTGGGAATTCCCGGACTTTTCAATTTCCCGGGAAACGGCAACGAAAAAAAATTTCCGGGATTCCCGGTAATTTATGTAAAACTTAATTTTTAACTATAATTACAAAATTTTTTAACAAAACTGACTACTTTTTTTTATAAATTTAACGATAACTCTGTGGGTATAGATGGAATAACCTAGGCATATGTAAAGGGGACATGTTATTGTGGTCTTCTTTCAACGAGAAACTCACAAGACACCTTATAACCCGAAAAACGCGGGATGTATCGAGTTTGATAGCTCCTTGGGCTCATCTTCAGTGAGTACTGTCGCAGTTGCAAAGACAGGGAAAAGGAAGAAACCGTCTTCCAACTTCTCTGTGAATTTCTTGCTTTAGCTGCTAAGAGAAACTGTTTTTTTGGCAGTTACTTCATAGCCAACCTTGGTAATATATGTGGGTCTAAGCTTAATGATATCCTGAGCTTTCCCACTGCTACAGGCTGGATCTAATGCTATACAATACTACACCTGACGAGAGGAGTGGTCCGGTCAAGACGGAGTCTCTTCTATTCTACTTGGCTGTTCGCGCGCAGTGAACTACCACGTTAACCAAACAACCTTACACTTGAGTAAAGGGATTGGCTCAAAACTAATCCAAATATAAACAAGTAAGAAAGTATAGTCGGGCGTGGCCGACCATATGATACCCTACACCAGTTATGAATATTAAATGTGATTTATTTTTCATAATAAAGCATTTATCTTCAATATTCCCTTGTTCCGATACATTTAAGCAATTTATGGATGAAAATCTAATTTTCTGAAAGAGGCTTTATATGGGGGCTAGGGGCAAATATGGACCAAGCCCGATAAAATTTTGTGAATATATTTATATTTACATAATATTTTATTGTGCTAAATTTCATCGCGATATTTGTGTTTATAAGTTAATTTGGGACATTCAAGTAATTTTCTGAAGGGGACTTTGTATGGGAGCTAGGGTCAAATGGGGCCCGATCTTTATGAAATTTGGCAGGGTCATCCAGACTTCTATAAAACTTAGTTGTGCCGCATTTTATCGATATATCTGTAAATTTAACAAAATTATGAGCTCAAAAGCCCTTTTCGGGGGGTTCTGTTCTATGGGGGCTAGGTGAAATAATGGACCGATTTCAACCATTTTCAATAGGCTTCGTCCTTGGGTCAAACAAAACGTGCGTGCCAAATTTCATCCAATTATCTTGAAAATTGCGACCTGTACCTTGCGCACAAGGTTTACATGGACAGCCAGCCAGCCAGCCAGACGGACGGACGGACGGACGGACGGACATAGCTTAATCGACTCAGAAAACGATTCTAAGCCGATTGGTATACTTTAAGGTGGGTCTAGGACGAATATTTTTGTATGTTACAAACATCAGCACAAATCCAATATACCCTCCCCACTAAAGTGGTGTAGGGTATAAAAACATTATACATTTTACATTGTCATGTAAATGAGGGACCATGTAATCCAAACATGCATTACATCAGACTCATCCCAAAACTACTCTTTTGCTAAAATTATGGGATTACATAACCCACTACATGGTCCTTGTTCACCAGGTTTTTAAAAAATCAACATACTAAACATATCATATCTCCATATGCAAGGGAATAGTTAACAAAAAAGAAATATAACTCAAACGCTTTCCACAGACGTTAGCTTTAGATATGCATTAAAGAGAATGTCAACATTTTTGGTTCTATTTGTATTTCCTTCATGTTAAGATTTAATTTAGAATTTTTTGATTTCCTGTTGCATCATTAATGATGTTTTGTAATTTGCCTTTAAAAAATCGCTAATAACTTATAAAATCACTAGTTTTTCCAAAATATGTTAAAAATAAAAATTCCCGTTTTCCCGGGAATGATTAAAAGAATTTCCCAGAAAATCCCGACAAACTTTTCCCGAGAATTCTCAGGAATTCCCGGACAGGATTTTCCGAACCTCAAACTCTAGACATAACCTATAAATGTAATCAAATTTTTAAAATTATAAATTTGTTTATTAAAAATTAAAAACACTTTTTCATGCTCTTTATTAGTTTTCCTTAGTTTTTTAAAAAAATTCTATTTCAATTTCATTTCATTTCGTTTGTAACACATCGAAATATTGATCATAGACCCACAAAAGTATATATTCTGGTCCCTTATTAAATTATAAGACGATCTAGCCATGTCTGTATGTCTGTCTGTCTGTCTGTCTGTTGAAAGCACGATAGAGTCCTAACGGAAAGAGCTAGAGAGTTGAAATATTTCCACAAATATTTCTTATAGGTAAGGTTTGTTTGGTATTAAAAATGGGCAATATCGGTACTCGTTTTCGCATAGCCCCCATACAAATGGCCCCCCGAAAAACAGCTTTAACGGTCATAACTGTTTTAAAAATGTGAGTTTAGCGATGAAATTTGACATAAATAAGTTTTATACAAGCCAAATTCTCTCTACCAAATTTCATGAGGATCGGTCCATAATTGACCCTGTCCCCTCCAAAAAACGACTTTAACGCCCATTACCAGCTTAAAAATACGAGTCTAGCGCTGAAATTCGATAAAAGTAAGTCTCTTAGGAGCAAAAATCTATCTACCGAATTTTATGAGGATCGGTCCATAATTGACCCTACCCCCATATATGGTCTCCTTCAGAAAATTACTTCAACGCACATTACTGGCTTAAAAATGCGAGTATAGCTATGAATTTCTTACAAGCCAAAATCTTTCCACCGAATTTTATAATTGACCCTACCGCCCATATATGTTCAAGATTTAAATGTTGCACAAAAATATTTTGTTTTTAAAAATTAATATTTTGTTAATCCGAAAGGGATATGTCCATAATTGATTTAAGCCCTATTTCAAATATCAACCTAATGTTTATAGGGGATCATTCCATTTACAGCATACGGTTTGATGGAGGGTACATAAGATTCTGTATAGTCGAATGTAACACTCTAACTTGTTTTATTTTCAAACTTGTCTTTATAATTTTTCATAAAGAAATAAATTTAGTATAAATAAATAAACCTTTTAATAAGAAAATAACTTCAGCAGTTGCCGACATAATGCTAGGACTCATATCAGACTGTGTAACTTCCTTTGAAATATGGCTAAAGTTGGAGAGTACATTTCAAACAAAAGGACCAGCCCGAAAAGCCACCCTCCTAAAAAGAGCAGCGTTTGCCCGTATGAAAGACCGTCAAAATGTAAGTGAACATTTAAATTATTTTCTTAATGCCGTATCGAAACTGAAGGAATTTTATGTTGTTGTTGGTGATGACTTATTGGCAATTTTCTTGCTGTATAGCTTGCCAGAGCCATATGAAATTTTCAGTAATGCTTTGGAATTTTGGAGGAAGATTAAGCGAGAAAATCAAAGATTGACAGGCAGAACAAAATGCATTATAAGTGAAGCACAAGAAACAAAACAAAAGCAATAACAACGCAGCAAACATAAGCGAAAAGAAAAAAATTACTTGTTTTAATTGTGGCAAAGTCGGGCATTTCGCGAGAAATTGCAAAACAAAACAATCAAAACAAGCAGATGCATGTCATGTAGGAGAGAGAGCAATATATAACACAACAGATACAACAATGATTCCTTCATGTAAAAACGGTTACTGGTGTCTTGATCAGCATTGCAAACTCACAATTTATTTTCCTTACCAATGTACCGACAAAAAAACTACCAAAACATTCCTAAATCTACCAAATTTGTTCCTTAGGTTTTTTGGACAATTGCTTCTGTTTAGAGTTCCATTATCCTTAAAACTAACAAAATCATACAATGATTTCTAACAAAGAATGGTTTACTTTTATATGATTACACAAAATTACCAAATACTTTGGCACAATATCGTTATGAAATACATAATTTTTGTTATCGAGAAAAATTTTTCTCAAAATCATACCCAAGAAAGCAAGTAGTTGAATTTGTGTAGGTGGCTTTATAAATCGACTTAGAACTTTACCACAGTTATTTTCTGATTTTCTGTAAAATAAGTTATATGGTTCAAAAAGATATCAAAAACGTATTTTAAACATTTCTTGAAAAAATAATATTGAAATCCTAAATAAATATTTGTTAAAAAAGAAGTATTTTAAAATATTTTTTGAAAAATTTACTTTTTAAAACTTTGAAGTCCTTTAAAAAGGAAACCTAATGAATCAATTTATTGCTCTTTGATAAATATTAAGCAGGAGGTTTACAATTAACAAGGATAAATTTAAGATAGATGTATTTACTAAAATTCTTATTTCTTTTGCTACTGCAAGTTCAGATATTTTCATAAATTCATATGTATGAGTTCAAAATTATCTCATCCTCCCAAATTTGAACCAAAATGTAAACCTGCCAACCAAACTATCAAAAGTCATTTTAGAGATTTGAAACTACCAATTTTCTAATTGGTCTTATTGGACCAAAGTGGCAACGCTGGCCTTGATAGTGGTAGTACGTCGCACATGAGTGCAAGCAATTAGAAGAGACGCTGAATTTGGCAAACGAGAATACATCAAAGATAACTTGAGTTTGCAACATGAATTTCTGTTTAAATGAGAGAGGACGTGAACAGCGTATTAACGTACATGATGTTTCTTATGTTAAGGATTTAAGAGTGAATTTGCTATCGATTTCAAAATTAATGGATAAAGGTTATGATCAGGGCTGCCAGATGAATTTTTGAAAAAATCGTCAATTTCAGAATAAATTTTTAAATAATCGTCATTTTGGTTTTAAGAAATCGTCAAAAAAAAATCGGAGAATATGAAAAGCTTAAAATTTTTATAAAAAATTAACAAATATTGTAATATTTTAAGATGAAATATATTTAAAAATTTATAATATTAATACATATTTATGTAAAATTCGAAAAATACGGAATATTATTGCTCAAAATTCAATAAACTTTGAGCTTTGAAGAATATTCAACAGTAATGTTAATTCTTTTCTAATGTTCTCATAATGTTTTCAATGTTCTGTCATTTTTAAAAATATCAAACATAAATACTGCTAAAATTTACATAGTGTACACATATAGTTTTTAGGTACAGAAACTTGTTCATCTTTTTCCTTAAATTTCTCAAAGTTTGTTGCATCACAATATTGCTTGTTTTGGTGCACAAGGAATATTTTAATCTTTTTAAGCAAAAAACTGCTTGTAAAATTTTTGAAAGTTTTCTGTTAACAAGTACTTACCCAGCAAAAACATTCTTGATTTGGAAGCAATAAATATAACTACTGCATCTTTAACTCCTTCCTCTATTGCATCTTAAAATTATTGCCTTACAAACATGATTTTGGAAGGCATATATTCAGCAATTATTGTTTGTGGTGTAGAAATTTGCTTCTCAACAGCTCTAAAATCACTTAATTTTTGCATTTTTCTAAATTTAAATCAATGTTCACTTTGATCTTAGCCATAAGGCAAAGACGTGATTTACTGTGTTTCTTTAAACCTAATTTTTTTTTTACAAGTTTACGGTTACTTTTTGTGATCTCAAAACAACAACATTCAAATATAAAAAAAAAATAAAAAAAAAAAAATAACAAAATTAAACGAAGAAGAGTTGATGATGTTGATGCTTCTCCTAGGCACAACATGAACAAAAAACAAATAACAAACAGCTCTCAGATAACTGTCAACCAAAACTATTATACTCCTCTACAAACAATCGATGATGATGATAATGATGAAGTTATCGTAGAAACAGCTGTTAAGGTGAAAATACCACCAATAACAATATTAAAATGTAAAACTGAACAAATATATGAAATATGTAGAATAATGGAAATAAAGGAGTATTCCATACGTAAAATTTCTATTGGTCTCAAACTTTTTTGCGATAAAAAGGAAGATTATGATAAAGTTCGTGAAGCTTTAACCAAAAAATTTTGTCTCGAACATTTTACATATGCTTCCAAACATGAAAAACCTTACAAGGCAATTTTACTTGGATTAGATAAAACCGATCAAGCCGTTATTAAAACTTGCCTTACTAGCTTAGGTCTTAAGTGTACTGATGTTAAAATCGTTACTAAAAACAAAAATAACAATGAATTAGTAATTTTTATAGTATATTTCGAGAGAAAATCTATAACATTGAAAGAATTGAGACAAAAGTACTCCTCCATAAACTTCATTAAAGTTAGATGGGAATACCAAAAACCAAATAAAGCTAAAATAACTCAATGTTATAACTGCCAAATGTTTGGACACGGTTCTAGCAGATGTATGGTTAAAACTTTTTGCGCCCATTGCGCTGGAAATCATAAAACCGCAGATTGTAATGCATCTTTTGAGAAATGTGCAAACTGTAATGGAGCCCATAAAGCTATGTCCCCTGAGTGCCCTAGTAGGGAATCGTATAATAAAATTAGGCAACGGACTCAACCGAATCAAATTAGGAAAAATACACAAAATTATAATAACACAAACTATAGTGCGAACTTTCCAAATTCGTTAAACCAAAATGAAATTCCTAATTCCTCTAATATGAATTATAATCAACATTTTAGTCAAAATGCTAATAACGAAAACCTTTTCGTTTGAAGAATTAAAAACTCTAACTCTTGAGCTTATTTCAAACTTGAGAAAATGCAACTCCCGTGAACAACAGTTCGAAGTTGTAACAAGCCTCGCTTATAAATTTTTATACCCATGAATACAAATATTCGTATAATACAATGGAACGCACGTAGCATTCGTAATAAAAAAGAAGAATTTTTCCACTTTCTGGTAAAAACTAATGTCAACATTTGCCTTGTATGTGAATCCTGGTTAAATGATAAATCCTCAATTAAACACCAAAATTACTACTGCTACAGAAATGATCGGCAAGAAGGTATCGGAGGAGGATTAGCAATATTTATTAGAAAGAATATTCGCCACGAATTAATATACCCTATAAATACCACTCAAATAGAAAATATATGTATAAGAGTGTATACTCGAAATGATTTTATTGACGTCTACTCATGCTACTTTCCCGGTGGAACTGCAGGAAGTGATTCCTCGCGTAAACAATCATTCTCATCAGACATTCGAAAACTAACATCATTAAACAGCAAATACATTTTAGGTGGAGATTTTAATTCCAGACACAATCACTGGGGATGTCAAAGAAGTAATTGTTGGGGCAATATTATTTTTAACCACTTACAACTTAACCAAACTCAAATAGTCTTCCCCCACGATCCATCTAGGCAACCATCAACATTAGATTTTTTCTTAACAAATATAGCACATAACCTAGCAGCGGTTAAAGTGATAAATGAACTCAGTTCAGATCATCTACCAATCTCTAGTATTGTAGATTTTAGAGCAAATGTTAATATTTACAATATATGTTTAAGAAAACTAATTGGCAACGGTTTCAAACATCAGTAAATAGAAATCTACCTAGTTTTATTGTAGAAATACAAATCAAATTGACGAATCAAAATACAAATCAAATTGACGAAATGATAGAAACTTTTAATGAAGCTGTTAAAAAGGGAATTGATGAAAGTACACCCAAGCAAAGAATAAATCCAGTTGTTAAAATGTTACCAAACTACATAAAAATAATGATTCAATTTAGAAATATATATCGACGAAATTGGAAGCGATATAGAGATATAGATGATCATCGTCAAATGTTACGGCTAAACAAAGAAATCTGTACAGAAACAAATAAGTTTAGAAATCTGAATTGGAATAATATGCTAACTACGCTGGAAAAGTCCTCAACACCCTTTTGGAAGGTTTCTAAAGTTTTAAAACGGAAAACAAGTAATATCCCTATTTTAAAAGATAATAACCTGGTCAGCTATACTCAACAAGAAAAAGCAGATATGTTTTATGTCAAATACAACAACAAGTGATGCAAATACAATATCTGAGGTCGATAATGAAGCAAACCAAATTCGAAATTGCACTGTAAATCCATCAGACGACTACTTTGTAAATAGTCCGCAAATTAAACAAATTATCAAAACTCTAAAAAATAAAAAGTCACCTGGAGTTGATAAAATAAACAACAGATGTTTAAAAAACCTTTCAAATAAGGGTATAAAATATCTCACAAAACTGTTTAATAGTTGCCTTAAATTGAGCTACTTTCCCAAATACTGGAAAATATCTAAAACAATTCCTATTCTAAAGCCTGGTAAGCCACCAGATTCGCCACATTCGTACAGGCCAATTAGTTTATTGCCTTCCACTAGTAAAATTCTTGAAAAAGTTTTAAAAGAAAAATTAAACAATGTCATCGATTCGTATAATATTCTCCCCCCACAACAGTTTGGTTTCCGCAAAGAACATAACACCCTCACAACCTTTAATAAAAATAAGAAAATTGGTAAAACAAAACTTTCAAAATGCTAAATCTACGGGAATGGTTCTTTTAGATATAAAATCAGCTTTCGATTCGGTATGGCACAACGGTCTTATTTTTAAGTTAAAGAGACTAAATTTTCCAGATGAGCTAATCAAAATTATTCAAAATTTTTTATATGACATATATTTCTCTGTACATATATCGAAAACAACATCTGATAAAGTCAGTATAACAGCAGGATGTCCACAGGGATCATGTCTTTCTCCAGTTCTTTATAACATTTTTACAGCAGATATTCCTATTTTCCCCACTGTGTAACTTCAATTTTTGCGGATGACACAGCTATTCTTAGCTCCGATGTATATGCAGCGAACATCATAACCAATTTAGAATTGGCTTTAGAAGATTTAAAATCTTACTTCAGTAAGTGGAATATCATGATAAACCCGGAAAAAACAAAAGCAATATATTTTACCAGGAAAAGAAAGCCATGTTTCCTTCCACAAAACCCTCTTCGATTCATGGATCATGATATAAGTTGGGAAGACAATGTCAAATACTTGGGAATAATACTTGATCCAAAACTCAACTATAATAATCATATATCATATTTATTAGATAAAATCAACAAATTAATATGTATAATGTACCCACTTATTAACAGAAAAAGTTTTCTTTCACCCTTTAATGTACTACTGTGCTCCAGTCTGGGCTACTTCTGCAAAATGTCATCTTAAAAAACTTCAAATATCCCAAAACAAGCTGCTTAAGATGTTATATAATCTTCCTTGGCATTATTCTACACAACGACTCCACACGCTATCTGGCATTGAACTTGTTCAAGATAAGATAAATAGATTAACCATAAACTTCAACAGGAGATGCCAGTTCTCTCAATATTTACATATAAATGAACTCCATTAATAAACCTATACTCAATATACTCTAGTATAAATTTTTACCCTTTAACAACCATTTCATAAAGGTTTTTGTAAATTTTTTTCCTTCCTTTCTGTATATTAAAATCTTACTAAAAGCTCACAAAATTCAAATGTAACTACTAAGTAGAAAAGAAACAAAGTTTCTAAACTCTTTAATATATAAGCCAATTGTGAAAAGTGTTAACATATTAAATGAAATAAACTAAATTGAAATTGAAAAAAAAAATAAAAAAATAAATCAATGTTCAGTGTTGAAAAATAATATTAATTCAATATGCACATTTTTGATTCCTTAGGCAGAGCCTCTACGAGAGGAATCCCATATAACAGTAACAACTGCTCTCTGCCTTACAAATCTGCTTCCGAGGAAGCACTATTTTTTGCTGGGTAGATATAAAAATATTAAACTTGGTGAGATTTCTTCGTATAATTTAGTTCTTTTACAAAACTTGTTTGTACTGGATTTAACTTATACAGTGTGGAAATTTGGTTCAGATCTGTCGATCTCTTCAAAAGTTATAAGAAATAATGTACATAGCATACACATTTAGATGTAAAATATGTTTAAGCTTTGAGAGCTTAAAACTCAAAACACACATTTTCGACTTAGAATGTTTTATAATAGCTCTTCTAGAATTTAATTTCTAGTTTTCATTATAATATAAATTCTATTTTACTGAATTCCAAGTTTAATATTCATTTCCTTTTTTCACTGTAAAATAAAAAAAAAAATTATAAAATCTTTAATTTTTTTAATTATAGAAAAATCGTCAGTTTCAAGGAAAAAATCGTCAAATCGTCACTTTGCTATTTTTGAAACGAAGAATCGTCAAATCTGGCAGCTATGGTTATGATGTTTGTTTTTATAGAGAAGAGGCGCATATAATAGAGAACAGCCGTATTGGTAATCTATATTATCTTGTAAATTCTGAGTATTTTGCTGGCGCAGTAAATAGTGTGTGCAACATTGATATGTGGCATTTTAAAATGGGCCACTTAAACGATCGTGACTTGAACATGGTATGCAAATTAACCGGAACTTTCAACTTGTGAAATTTGTATAACCGAAAAACAGATCCGTGAATCTTTTCCGAAGAATAGTGGTCAACGTACTAAGGACGTATTGCAGATTGTCCACAGTGCACATTGGGAGAAAACTCCAATTTAGCGGAATTTAATTCATATCTTCTTTATTTATGACATGATCCATAAGAGATGTATAGTTATATTTTAGACAAAGATGTGTGCTATCGAATTAGTGTACTTTTGGGATATACTGTTTTCATACAGGGTGTGCTATAAAGTGTTGTATTAGACAACCTCATTTGTAAATATGTATATTATAAATATGTTTATAATTATGTATTCCTTTAGTATTGATGACTTATTTGAAAACTAGAGTATAATTCGAACTATGTGAGATATATTAATGACATTTTGGACATGTACCCTACAGTCAGGATAGACCGAAAATATTTTTAAATATTTGTATATTTTTTTGTAATGAGGAGTAAAATAAGATTAAAATAAATATTATAAACATAATAAAATATTTCATATTCGATCATTAGAATATATATTTTTCATTAAACAATTATGGTTATGATTTATACCAATTTAGTAATATAAATAATTGCTGGAGTATCTGTTTTTAAAAAAACTACATACATTTTACATATAAAACTAATAATTCTCTTCGTTAGCCTTTTAAGTAATATTTTGTTAAAATTTTCTTTATTTTCTTTCTTTAATAGAAATGACAAAATACTGTCTTTACAATAGGGTAAAAGTCTAAGTCATACATACTCCAGATTTCTATAAAATTAATAATTACGACATTACCTATAATTTTAGACAGTTTCAATTAAATAAAATACATATTTCAAGATTGGACTAATATAATGTCCAGTACAGGAAGATTTGTTCAGATTTGGTGTATTAATATTTAATTTGAAAAAGACAACACTATTTTTATTTTGCTATGCATTCCGACAAATTTACATTTTTGTCCCACTGTGATGCATTGTCCAATTTTTTAAAATTTATTCTACTTCATAACTAAATAACGCTTCTCGATGAAGTATTACATATATCTAAAGGATCCAATATTTTTCAAAACCTTAATTTATTTTACTGAAACCCAGAAATTATTCATATTCCATAGTCGACATATTTTCTAAAAAACTAATAAGAAATCAGTTCGCACTTTTTCGCAGCTAAAAAGCACTAATACATATCTAAACTGCATTTTAATGTTTAACTTAATGAAAAAAAAATAATTACCAAATATTTTGCACGACTGTATTGGTAAGAATAGCAAATACAACATAAAATTAATTAATTTGCCTCGAGCAGTTATATGAAAACAATAAACTATCCACTATATACTAACAGTGGACATTTATATTGAATGATATCAAAACTACTCCGAAATACTGAAATTTTAAATATACAAAAATGTTCACATTCAACTTAAAGCTCTGATACACGATTGTCAGATCTTACAACGTTGTCAGTAAAATGTGCAGAAAATGCGGTTTAGGCAATTAATACATTAGAAACCGATGCCCTACGAAATCGTTAAATTGTGAAATACCTTATAAGTTATGGTCTGGTAAAACTCCTTCACTCAAACACATGAATGTATTTGGTGCTAGGCATACGTTTTGATTAAGGGTGTTTCGAAGGGGAAATTCGATTCCAAATCAGAGGAATGTGTTTTAATGTGTTACTCAAATAAAGCCAAAATGAATCCAGCTACGGTTGCCGAGGTTCTATAAACTGTTGACGAATCGTGGATTAAAGCAATCGAAGATGAATACGTAGCTCAATTACTAAATAATACGTGGGGGATAGTTGATCGTCCGAATAATAGTAAAGTAATTGGTAATAGTTTTGTATTTTGAACGAAAGATGTCAACAAGAGAAAAGCTCGACGGGGAGGATTGTTTGAAACCTACTCTCCAGTACCGACATTGGTCGTGAGATTGTATCTCAGCAAAACTGAATCTTGAGATCCATCAAATGGACGTCGTTACTGCCTACCTCAATGGTGAATTGGACGAAGAGGTATTCATGGAGATACCTGAAAACTTGGTAAACGTGTTGAAGAAGGTATATGCCGATGAGACGAGGTCTCCGACAATCCGGTTTAAAATGGTACCAAAAGTTAACAACAAAATTAAAGGAACTTAAGCTCAAGCCATCCAAGCATGACCCATGCTTATTCGTTTTAAAAGAAGATGGGAAAATTGTACTTCTTACCGTATACATGGAGGGTTTATTAATAGCCTCTAATGATGAATATTTAGTGAATGGAATTAAGAAATCCCTAACCGAATCTTTTAAGATGAAAAACCTCGGGCCCGTTAAATTATGTCTGGGAATTGAATTCGATCAGAATATTAATGAACGCTCCATATATTTAAGCCAACGAAAATATACTGAGTCTATATTGAAAAAGTATAATATGAGTGAGTGCGAATTGTAAACTAAAAAAAGGACGTCGATGAAGATGAAGTATCCCTATCAAAATCTTATTGGTGTCCTGATGTACTTGGCAGTTAACACCCGCCCGGATATAGCATACTCTGTAAATTTCTTGAGCCAGTTTAATACGAATTTTAATGAGCAACATTGGCAGGTCGCCAAACGTGTTTTAAGATATTTGAGGGGCACATTAAATTGTGGTCTAATGCAACGGTTCCCAAAAGGGGGTCCGCGGACCCCTAGTGGTCCGTAGCAAAATCCTAGGGGGTCCGCGAAGACGAACGAAAAAAATCATAAATAAAAAATATTCTCTATATGTTAGAAAATATTAAAAATATCTCCAAATTTTTCATAAATACTAAAATACACAATTTTTATTCAATAATCCCAGATTTGTTGGTGACTTTTTGATTATTATTGTTTCGGTCGTTTATCAGGATGATGCTAGGCCCTACAAATTTATTGTTTCACTTTTATAAAGTAAAATATTACGTGATTTGTAATTTTTATAAATGTATATGTATCGAAATAAATGTTTTTATATCAGACGGATAATGATTTGCCTTAGAATTAAATACTGATACTGGTATCCCGGAATATGAAGTTAGGTCACATTTCATAATATTTTTTTAAATTGTAAGCAAAACTGTTAATCTAGTTAATTTTAAATATAAATATTCCATTCCGACGTAATACACAGATTTTAACTTCATTTTGTTGTCCAATATTATTAAATCAACATCAGAAAGTTCATAGCGGTTTGCGTAAATAGTCAAAACCACGCAGTAAAATAATTCGTAGGTATTTTAAAATTCAAATTTAAGATCCAAATTCACAGTACATTCGCAAAGAGTTCAGGTCATATTTTATGTGGGTAACGCATTCCGCAACAACATCGAAGAAGTCTAACTTTCACGTATTTTCCTGAAAACTTAGCTTACATACTCAGCTCACTCCTATGCAATCGCAAACAAATTTAGAAACATGACAAATGAGAGAAATGAACATGAAAGCTCTCATGATCATAAAATTAAACATCATGTTAGAAGTCATTCTATATTTAAAACCATGCAATTGAAAACATCTCCGAAATACTAAATATTCTCAATGTACGGGAATATTTTATAGGGTTTATGGACCAGGACTAAGAGAATTTTCTGATGAACAATTATTTATAACAATAAGATATCAAAATATGTATGGGGGTCCGTGAAATTAAATAAATTTCTCAAGGGGTCCGCGAAGTAAAAACGGTGGGAACCGCTGGTCTAATGTATCAACAAGATGATACCCAACTCTATGGTGTAGTCGATGCTGATTGGGCTGCCGATCATATTCCGGTTACGATTTATCTTGTCGGGGGACAGCTGTATGTTGGGAGGCTAGAAAACAACGAACAGTTTCCCTGTCCAGTACTGAATCTGAATGTTTAGCCATATCAGAAGCAACAAAGGAGGCTCTATATCTGAAAGAGTAGGTTTGGAATATGAAATTGTAATACTATTTAATGATAGTCAAAGTGCTCAAAAGCTAGCAACCAGTTTCGAAATTCTCTTCCGTACGAAAAACATTTGATGTTAGATGCCACTTTATAAAGCAGAAACAGCAAAGCGGCGACCTCAGCATTCAATATATACCAACTGACGATATACCAGCAGACGTGTTGACGAGGCTCTATGTGCCGAGAAACATTCCAAATGTATTGCTGCCTTGGGAATGACTAAAGCCGAATGTTGTTGATGTTACCATTCTGTATTCTTCAAGGGGAGGTGTTGGAACGTGCAAAGTATTTCGAATATTGGCAACATTATTTATTTATTTTATTTTTATTACATTTATTGTTTCATTCCTTTTACACTCTTTAATTGCATTTACTTTGTAACTGATTTTATTTTAGTCTTAACTTTACGCTGACAAATAAAGCACGCATTTGAATTAAACGTTAAGGAAAAGCATTTTATTCTAACAATTTATTATTTTATGGTATAGATCTTGAAGTTTGTTTATTAAATTACGTCCTCCCTGTAAGGGAAGACACAAATCCCAAAAACAATATACATATTACATATACCAAATTACTTTATAATTTATCGAAAATTCAATTCAGTTTTGGTATTTCACTTCTATAAATTAATAATCGCTTATTTGAATTTGAATATTATCATTTAAAACAAACAAATTAATCTGAAAATTAACTCTTATATCTAAATTCAACAATTCATTAATTTTACATGTTATGTTTAATTCTACTTGTCTAAATTTCTTAAACATTTGTAGTAACTTATTATTTTTGTTTACTTTTTGAAGTTTTCGTTTTTATTTGAAATTATTCGATTGTTAATTTTTCATTGCAATGTCAGAGTTGTGTTAAAATCAAGCAGTAATACTTTGCAGCTCTGAAAAACAAATTGTGTTGTCAAATTAAACTTTGCAACACTGCACATATGGGCACAGACATATTAAAAAGGGCGATAAGTCAACCACTGGCCTTTGGTACAAGTTATTGGTATCATTGAAAAGATAATATTCTCTAGTTTTTAAATATGTAAAATTATTATAACCCACCAAACAAAATTATGCAAAAAAGTTATAAAATATAAAAAATAGCGAAAATATATATTTTTTTTAATTTCCCTAAATATTGCAATGATTATAAAAGTTAGTAAATATTAGAATAATGTTGTACAATAACTCTATTATATATGTTAAACAAATTAAAATACGCTTAAAGAAATGTTTTGGTAAATTTTAAATTAAGTTAACAAGGTACAGAATTCTTTGAATATTTGATGATCATAAGTACTTAGACAACTAATAATTGAAATTTTTCTCAATATATGTAGTAACAATTGCAACATTAACAGCCTGTTTTTTTTAAAACCATTTAGTTCTCACACAAACATTTCATTTTATTGCGATATATGTAGTTTAAAATTAGGTTTTTATAAAACATTTGAAAGTTTTCGTTTAAAAATGTCTAAAATGAAATAAGCTTTTTCTATCGTAACAGAACATTATTGGGTCTAGGACGAATATTTTTGTATGTTACAAACATCAGCACAAATCCAAT